CAGCACGAGGTTCAAGGTCACGACTGGCGTTGAGACGCGTAGGATGGTTGACCCACTTGAGCACTGAGGCTGGCGTTGACGTAGTGGGAGCTTGCTTGACAAACAAGTGCGGCATCGGGCTTCTCCACGTGTAGTATTCCAAGGATCTCCTGTGGCGAGCTTGGATCAGAAGGCGGAGGTTGCGCATGATGTGTGGAATCAGTGGCTGCAAGCATCGGATCACCCCGCTTCTTGTCATGAGGCGGACGAGGGGAACGACCATGCAGTGAATTGAGAATGGGGCTCTTCGCGAAGTTCTTGTCAAAAGACTTCCCATCAACGGCGGCAGCACTGGCCATGGGTAGAACTGCACTTGACGTCACTGACTCTGAAGGTGTGGAAGGGGAAGGCGTAGTCACTGCGGGCATGGTGGGCAGCGTGGTAGTAGCAGAGGTATCATGAGCTTTGCGTGTCGCGGCAAGTTCAGCCTTGAGAAGCTCATTTTTGCGTTGGAGTGAATGACAATTCATGGCCGCGGTGAAATGGCTTGGTGCTGCTGCGCAAGGTGCGCGAGGATGTTGTTGGCCAAACGCTCATGAATCTTGATGCGCTGATTGAAGTCCTCCAAGTTGAGCCCTAGGGAGCTGGCAGTGTCTCGAGGGTAAAGAGGTTGAGCTGCTGAGATCGGCGTAGTAGTTTGGAACAGGTGCTCCACAAAAGGGCTTCGGTTCTGGTACGGAATCCGTCCCATGTCGCAAAGCGGCCGTGAGCAAAAGGACGTAGCAACCAAGTTGAAAGGCCACCATGTGTTGCTTGAACTAAACGTACGTCACGAATGTCGAGATCGGCCATTCCACGTTCACGAGTGTGAGGAGCAGTGGTGACTGGAACTGGTAGCCTGAAGGAGTAGCTGGTTGCGATCCAGAAGGCCTTCTCCAACACTCCGCTGGCTGTTGCCATGGGACCGGAATGCAGGCGCTGAGTGCTCTGTGCAGCTGAAGAACTGGGCGCAGCGAAATTCGCGAATGTAGTCGATGTTGGTATATGCTGATTTGCAGGCGGAGCGTGAGGAGCACGATGACAAGGATCGTGCGAAAGAGGAAGTCCAGACGCAGGGGAGTATGGTGCAAGGCAAGGAGTGGGAGGGAACGGTGCTGGTGCATGATGCATGTAGGCGCTGTAGGCATGCGATTCTGATCGCCCACAGCGGTGACGAGTACGAGAACGTTCACGGTCATCACGTCGAGTCAAGCGCAAGGCGAGGATTCCAAAAGTCCCAAAGCTTGAGACACAAATCACTCACAACCATGGCACAATCATGTGAATACAAGACAGCAATGGCAATGGTCAACGGTAGCAATAGTAGACGGAAGCAATGGTCAACGATATCAATGGTCAACGGTGGCAATGGTCGACGGTGGCAATGGTGAAGGAAATGGTTGACGCCATCTTCCCTTTAGTGAAACCTCGTTTCTGCTTAAAGTGAAATTCCGCTGGTCTAGCGATCGACGCCAATGTTAAAGAAAACGGCAATGCCGTCCCGGAGCCACACGATGGGTGCATCCGAGGGTCCGCCGAAACGGGGTAAACACACTTACACTCCCGTAGGAGGTTGCTTCTCTTCGAGTACAACTTTCGAGTGCAACTGTCAGCTCTCAAGACGAGTACAAATGCAAACGCTATGTACAGAGCCAATCTAAAGTTGCAGGTACGTCAGTCCAGCGTCCTGCATGGACTGATTTCACGTTCCAATGGTGCCGTCTTCGTTGGGCGATGCACACCAAAGGAACCATCGCCCTGCTATGATTTACGAAATGGTTCCAGGGTATATCTGGAACTCGGCACACACACGCACACACACACACACACACACACACACACACACACACACACACACGCACGCACGCACCCACACACACACACACACACACACACCGACCGCAGGGGCTCCACGGCCCAGGCGCCTGCCGGCAGCTTCACGGGGTCCAGCACCTCCGGGTGGTTCAGCACCGCCGCGATCTGGGGCGGCATGTGGAGGGCGATCTGCGCCGCCTCGGCCTTCGCCAGCACGCTCGCCTGAGGAACCGAAGAACCGAGGAACCGACCTAACTGGGTCGACCATGAAGGGATGGTTTGGGTGATCGCTGATGTGTCCACAAGCCCCCCTTGTGAACCATCCTTTTCGGTCCCTGAAAAGCGGATCCCTGTATTAATTCCTAAAAACAAGCTAGTACGTTGATTTTTTACACCTGGCCCGTCCTCCGGGCTGGTTCCTGCAATCCCTCGTTACCCACTTTTGTGGTTTTCTGGTGGGTCCCTATGTTGATTCACTTCCCCTCAAACGAATCGCCCACGTGCCAGCGAGCTCCCGAGCCACAAATTAAAATTACCTCGCGTTGTACCAGGGTCTGTTTGTACCTCACTTTTGACCAGTGCATTTACCCCTTTTTTTACGAGAACCAGCCAGGTGTTTTTTTGCGCCCTTCGAAAAATTGCCTTCACCGAAATCTGGCCTACACCCCCAGTTTTGAGCCACGCCTTAGTGTAAAGGCTCTTGGCTGTCGCCATCACCTCTGGGGGAATGGGCACATTCGGCAGAGGCACCTTGCAGGGCCGTCGGTGGCTTCTGCGAATCCACTCGCGCGACAAGTTCGGGCGGCGTAGCAAGAGGGCCAGAAGGGTAAGTACGGTACCTATTGCCCAAATGTGAGATTTACCTGATGTACCAACCTCTCGCGCACATTGGTGATTGAAACCCTCCTGAAATCGAAGGAGCACCTTTGGCAGCTGCGGCAGCTCGACCTTGGGCAGCATCTTCCCGGCCTCCTTCGCCAGCTGCTGCGCCGCGTGCGGCAGCTCCTTGCCCAGCTCCTCAGGTCACCCCAAAGCCTCCCACGCGACGGCAAGCAAAGGCGCGAGCTGCGGCAGCTGGCGCAAAGCAAACCAACATGCTTTGGGCCGGGGGGCGATGTTGCGTCAACATCAGGAAACTGCAAGCTCCAGCAAGTGCCGCTGGAGGCACTGCAAAGGCGCAGGGCGCTTTCGCGCCCTCACCATCCGGGAGAGGGCGCAAGGCAAACGCAGCATACGTCATGCTCTGAGCGTGGATGAGGTTCGTCTGATACCCGCTCTGTGCCCAGCGAAAGAATCGTGATTACGGGCATTCTCCAATCCCTCCAAGCCACCAGCTTCCCTCCAAGCCACCAGCTTCCCTCCAAGCCACCAGCTTCCCTCTTCTCGGTTGCTTTCTGCTCCCCTGCTAGCAGTTCAATTTCTAGTGGTTTAGTACGGAAAAACCCAGTAGTTTGCAAAAAAACCTGTTCAGTCCCAACAGCCCTTGGCAAAATGCACCAAAGCCTGGGTGGGTTGGCATCCCTCTAAACCACCGTGCCAAGTGGGCCCAGCTCCTTGCCCAGCTTCTCCAGGTCCTGGGGGATCTCCCGGCTCAACTTCTCCTTGGCGATTTTTGTGTTGTGATGTGTTGGTTTTTGTTTGTTGATGTGTTGTTTTTGTTTGTTTTTTGGGCGTGTTTTTGTGTTCTTGCTTTATCTTTTTGTTCCTTTTTGTTTTATGCCTTGCTTTTCCGATCGGATCCCTCCTCTGGCAAGACATGCAAGAAGAAACGGCTTGATGGGTTTTTGTTTTCGGGGCCTGACTTGGGTTGTTCAAACGGGGGAATGCTTAATCAGCAATCCATGGTGGCTGCAAGGGTGAGCACTACCCACCCAGCGAATCCTTGCAGGAGGCGATCGGGCACTTCGTGATTCTTTCACTTTGGCAGGAACCGCCAACAACCAACGCTGACCCAAAAAAGGTGCGTGAGTGTCAAGAAGGGGGGAGGGAAAAAAAAAACGTTGGCCACTTGTTTTCTCCCCTGTGCTGGGTCTCCAGGTCAAACTCCAAGGTCTTCTCCAGATCCTTCGGCTCCACCTCCACCTTCACCTTCGCCGCCCTTGTGACCGCCGGCTTCCGCGCCTTTCTTCGGCGGCTCGCCAGGGCTGCGCCGGCGCCCAGGGCCACGGCGCCGAGTGCCGACCTCCTAGCGACGGCCCGTAGTGGCTGGTGATCCCCACGGCAATGTGACTCTTTTCTTGTTGGTCGGGTGGTGGAACTTGAAAGCCATGAACAAAATAAAATAGAAGGTCTCAGAAAGCTAATCAGGTGTCTTCTGACTTGTGTGCCGGTTTGCTGAAACGAACACTGCTGACTTTCTCGCCCACATTCGAACAATATGTTCTAGACCTGGCGGAGTTTCTTGTTTACGGTGTTGTGAGCCCGCGCTAGAAGGCAACCCAGGATCATGTCCTAATGTTGACCCCATATTCATATGGGGTTTAGTGGGGAATCCAAAAAAAACTGGAGTTGATTTGGTCAACACAAACACACTCCTCACGCTGGAGGACGGCGTCTGGGTCTGCTGGCCGCGCACGAGCCCTGCGCCAGCTTTGGGGCATGGCGCGGAAGACGGCAAGCCGACGGCGAAGGGAAGCTCGGCGTCCATGCCGCCGCTTCTTTTGCGCTCAGCCTGCGGCAAAATCGGACACACCTGATGTTCATCTCACCTCCTGAATGGATTCGCTCCAAAGCAATAATTTCGCGTTTCGATTGCCTGGTTGATGAACTTCGACTCTCCTCCAAAATGCACAAGTGTGGATTTGCGAGGTGCAGAACAAATCACGAAGTCAAGGGCTTGCGTGTCTTTTGCTGGCCCGCCTGGGGCCGTGCAGCGGTCCGAAATGTTCTGAGCAGCTGTCAACAGCTGCAACTTGCAAGCACGGTGTCACAAGCAATAAGCTGTGATACCAACAAGCATTCTGGGGTCGATGCCCTGGCATTGGTATGCCGTATCCCGAAAACTTGTTGATTCTGCCCACCACAACGTTTTTGTGTGTTTACGGTTGTTACATCTGCTTGCAAAACAAAATATGGCATACGTGCAAGACCCCTTGGATCCCTTAGCCGTACAGACCCGGTCTGACCCTCCCTCACGCTCAAACATATTGCTTGCCCGAGTGCCGGGCCCATGGCATCGTGCGAGCTCAGTAAAAGGGTCCGCTGGACTGGCCTGCATGTTGTTTTGGGCCGACGTCTGTTTGCTCACGTCCACTGGGTCTTCGCCGCTCCATTCTCAGCCGAGCATCTGTCATGCTCGGCAACAAGCCATAAACTGCAGCGACATGGCAAGCCAAGAGAAGCTCGGAAACATGCGACGTTCAATGTTTGGTTTTGGCTTGGGCGAGGAATGAGACAAATGTTATGCAAAAACAAACACCCCACAGCCTTCTACTTGCAAACGCGCATCACACGCAGCGCCAATTGGCAACGAGTTTCATGTGCAACATCCGGCAGTGAAGTTCGGACGCAACCGCAGAATCGCGTCTGCGCCATGGAAAAAGTGCGCAAAAAGCCCGTGCATTTGAGCGGGCGCATACACAACGCACGCTCGCTGAACTCTTCCTTCGAACCCTCCCCGTGCATCACGGAACCGGCACCCGCTTGGGGCTCAGCTCGGTTACGTGTGTTTCTCCTGCGGCTTGCCGGAGGCTGGGGGACTGTCGCCTCTTGGCAAGATCTGTTGGAGGGCGTGCGCCCCCAGCGCAGCCAGGCTGGGCCAGGTCGGGCTCGCCAGTTGGGAACAACGGGCACTGACAGCCTTATCCAGTGCCTCAGCGCGTTGAACCCGGCGTCAACCTGGTAGACGGATTAGCTGGGACGGCCGTCAAAGCTCCAGCTTGGCCCGGAGCAACGCCTTCAAAGATGGTGACAAGGATGCCAATCGCACACATGGCGTATTCGCAACGCGTGGAATTTCCAGCCGTGCCGAAGCTTGGATGTCCTTGCTTTGGCTGGCCCGTCCGAGCCCAGCCTTCTGCCTTTGCGCGGCTAGCCGCCGCGTCGGCGTGCACGCTTCGCTCGCCTTTCTCGGCTGCCCTTTCGGGTTGGGGGGGGGTCCCGGGTTCCCTCGGACCGCAGCTAAACGGAAAAAGGCGTCCGCAGAAGAAATCTACACATAACAGTTCCGGGTCGGCAAGCGGAAACTGGAGCAAGGCGAGGGCCGAGGTTGTTGTTTCCGAGCCCTGCATGCTTTGCCAGTACCCGGCGTGCTGCGCAAAGGCAAACAGCGGGAGCCAACGCGTCGCCCTGCTCACAAGAATGCGGTGCCAGGCGCCGGCACCGTCCCACCACAAGTACACCGACTGCTGCGCGTAGAGGGGACGGACAAAGAGTACAAGCGATGGCGTCACTGGAAGGCGCCCGGGATACCGAGTCATAAGCGCAACGCCTGTCAAGAGACACGACGGTGGCTGCGGGGTCGAGCTCGGTGGCAGCGCGAAGCAAAGCGGCCAGGCTGTCCGTCCCAGCTCGTGCTTGCAGCGCGAACTGGTACGGCCTCGTGGCTTCATCGAAGCAGCGCGCATGCCTTCGAAGTTGTGGCGGGCGGCGGTCCGGGTCGGGGGCTGCTTCAGCGCCAGGGGCCAGCGATGCTGAAGTGAGTGTCTGCCGCGCGCGGGATAAGTCGCCTTGCCGGATTTGGGCGCACGCACGCTCGCGCAGCTGCGCCGACGGGGGCGGCTCCGATGAGCGGCTTCCATCGCCGCCTTCCTTGCCGGCGGACGCTATCCAGCTTGATGCCGCCGCTGTAGCGGATGCCCTCCGCACGGCAAAAAAGGGTACGGTGGACCACTACAAGATCCTGCTGGCCGATGAGGCTGCGCTAGCGCTGTTCGCCGAGGCGGCAACAAAGCTAGCCAACGCGGATGTCCCAGAGCCCATACTCGCAGCGCTAGTTCTTGCTCGCCTCACGGCGTTGCGAAGCCCAGCGGGGGAGTGAGGGGCATCGCCACTGGCGACACCTTTCGTCGCCTGGTCGCTCGCCCGGCGCCACGCCAACCTGCGCGTAAAAAGCTTCCAAGCGCCCACCTGCGCGGACCCCGTCCGGGGGTCATAAAAGAAGATGCTTGGCGAGCTCCTGGTACGAAACCGGGAAGCGTAGCACAACTGTACACGCGGCACTCGTGGCAAAGGGTTTGCCGCCTGGCGATTCGCTTTTGCGCCCTGCTCGGCGTCAACTTCCGCCCGCCGCCGGTCAGCTCTCCAATGCGAAAGGGAATGCGCGCACAACCTGCCAGCAGCTGCGTGCAACGCCACGTACACCCAGGCCCCCAGCGCCTAGAGGAGGATCCGCCCGCTGCCACGCAGCCTGCGCCCCGCACAGGGTAGGTTTTTCTTTTTCCTCTCCTGAGGCCGTCCTTCGGGTGAATCATGAACGAAAGCGTGAAACGGCGGCAAAAGCGGCTGGCGATTCAGCCGCGCAGGGGCAAGCGGCTCGCGCCAGCATCTGCAGCAAGGCAGAGCACGCGCTCGAGCGGCGGCGCGCGCAGGCTGGGGCACTGCAACGGCGCCGGCCCACCAGCGCCGTTGCCAACCTTGAGCCGCAGGCCTGCGCAACGCAGCGGGGGCTTAAGCTGCGACACCGTGCGAGGTCCCGGACAAGCCCCAGGGCGCCATCACTCCAGCACCCACCACTCTCCGAGCCCAGGACCAGGAGGCGCTGCGGCTGCTGGGCAAGCAACTCGGGGTGGGTTGCTCGCTTCCGTCGTTCCACTGTTGGCAGAGCCACCCCGTCCTCCTCCGATGCCCGGGGATGAGAAGCACCCAAGCGAGTCAATGGCGACAAGCCCTCAAAGGGAGACGCCATAGCTGACCAGGCAAAGATCGTCGAGCAAGCAGGCACGGTGCGTGATCCCCGAAAGCGCCAGCGACGCCTCCACAGCCGAGGACTGTGCCGCAGAACACTGTGTGGACGGTGGTGTCCGGCGCAGTCGCTTCCAGAGGTCTCGGAAGGTAGCGTTCAGCAGGCGCGTGACCGTGTAGCCGTGGCGCATCGTCTCCATCAGGTGCCCCACTGCGAAGCTCGTTGGGCTCTTGCACTGGCCGCACCCTCTGGGACGGGTCGTGGGCAGTCAGCAGGAACGCCGAGGATGTGCAAGCCCCGATAGTCACACCGAAGTCCAGCATGTCAGGCTCGTCACTCACATGGCCTCCTGCTGCTTTGTGTCTCAGCAAGCGTTGCACTGGCAGAGGTTCGTTCGCCTCGTGCTTGAGTTTGTAGGTCGTTGTCGAGATGATCAACCTCACGCTTTGCTCGTGCTGCTCAAGACACTGCTGCCATTGGTCGCCATGGAAAAAATCGAAGGCTTCCAGGAAGTGCTTCTGCAAGGCGAGCTTGGCTACACGTGTTTCTTGTGGGCCCCAGGACGCTTGTCTTGCAGCTTCAATGGCGTAGGTTGCGGCATCTTTCAGGGCATGGATGCGCAGCATGAACTGTGGCAGGGCTTCGCAGAATTCGGTCTGGTGCTTCCGCAGCCGTTCCTCTCCGTCTGGCGCCAACGGGCCAATAAGTATGACAATGGAATGCACCGCTTGGCAATGTTGGCAATCTCAGAGACTAACTGCTTCGTGGGGGCGGTGAACCAGTGCACTCTGCGTAAGCCTTGTTCCTCATCTGATAGCGTTGCAGCGTTGAGAAGGAGCAAAGCAAAGAATGTCTTGCCACACCCCGGCGCCGCGCCGGCCGTGGACCCAAGCAACATCCCACGCAGGAGGAGTTGTGCATTGGAAGATCTTTGCCAGCTCCGCACTAGCACTCTTTTGCCTTGAGGTCATTGAGGTCTGATTTGATGTTGTTCCCCAACATTTAAAAAAAAAACAAGTCTTTGCATGGGCTTAGCCCCTTCCTCCCGAAACGGTTGGTGTCGTCACCTTGGCGCCAGTGGAAGACAAGGTCGCGGCCGGCCATAAAGTCCTTGAGTGCGTTTACGCAGCTTTTCGTGACCTCTTGGCCTCCTCTCTACGGGACATCCGAGGCCTCGCTGTCAGCACTTCCAGTAGCACGACCAGCCAGGCCTAAGCGCAGTTTGTGCAAATAGACCGACAAAAGATCCCCAACACCTGCCTTTGGAAACCCGGAACTTGAGTTACCACTGAATTCGTACTTTCCCCGCAACCTTTACAATGGCTGAAGACCCCTAAGCTTTCAGCTATTTGGGACACTTTCCGTTGTCTTCAAATTCCCCAACAGCCTTGTCTCCAAATCGGGAAAGCATGCCGATCAGTTGTCTATCTTGCAGTAGGTGGCTGTGCTCACAGCGCGACAAGGCCGAGGCAGTCAGTGCCACACTGTGGTGCGCTGCCTGTTCCGGCGCTTTGCTGCTGACGCAGGCTATCTGGCTCACGCAAAAGATCCGGGAAAAGTTGCACAGCCAAAGCTGTCACAGCGGCAGCAGCCGAGGATGCTGACGCAGCCGATGCTGAAGCCAATGTCAAAGTCTCTGAAGTCGTGAACTTGCCCATGATGCCTCACAACGCTCCCGGCATCCAGGCTTCCAGACAACCCAAGAAATGTGGGACTCAGTCCCTACGGCCCTGGCGCATTGCATTAGCAGACGCTTGCCAGATAGCCACATTTCGGTCAGGCATCATAAAGCTGAAGTGACTTGTCATGGGGAGCACATCCTGGTTTCACAGCGCTGCAAGTCCTTCAGGCCGGCAGTGCATTTGGGTGACCAACTGCAAGCTGTCATCTACTTTGGGATGGGCACACTGGCAAGCCACGATGCTTCCTACCACCTCGTGTGTTTCACTTATACACTTCAACCCTTGAGGGCTGTACAGGCATGCCACGTCGACCCTGCTTCGTGGTGTGGCCAGCGCGAAGTGCGACCATATCTATTGAGAGCGATCCCCAGCACATAGTCCTGGCTCAAACAAGACTGGCTTGTTTATCATCCGGCACAAGCCCCAGCACAGTTTCCTTCCAGTCACACGAATCATGCCTGCGGCGCTTTTTGCTGTTGGACGCGTTTTTTGTCCAACGGAGGCTGTTTGTGGCGTCCCAAGGACGGGAAAGAAGCCGGAAGATGCTTGCAGGTATGAACGCGCCCTGCTGCTCAAAAAGCATAGGCCCCACGTGACTAGGGCCCACACATTTTGCAAGCAAGCCGTGACAACGCCATCTTGCTGAAGTTCGGGCTAACCATTCGGATAGGAACCATGCCGCGGCTGTCATTGTTTTCTAGGTTGACAGCAGTCAAACCTTGATTTCGCGCCGGCCCGTGAGACATTGGGTTGAAACGGTGATGGGGCTTGTCTTCAGGGCG